CAATAAATGTCAATATATTCGAGTTTAACATGCAAAGTTTAAACATTTGAGATGGATATAACAAATTGAAAGTATATGATTGCCAAACACTACAATTTTTCCCTTAGCGTATACCTATTAAAGCGCTGGAACGTGTACATACTTTTTTATTATAAAATTTATTAAAAAATGAAAATTATGGAGGGGCTTCAGTAATTTGGAAGTAGAATGACCTCTTTCAACAGAAAAATTTTATTGGCAGTAATTTTTTGGTTAGCTCTGGAGTGGTATATTAAAATATAAATGTAATATTTTTAAAGAAATAATAGTACTGTTTATAATTCCATGATGACAATCGTTCATATTCGTTAGTAACAATGCAATGGAATATAATTTGCAGCTGTGAAAAAAAGACGGAAAACAGAATAGGTAAATGCGAGGGTAAATGCTCTACCGAGTGTAGCGACTGCCACGTAGGACCGACATGGTTGGGTCGGAACCGCGACGTTGTGGAACCGTGGCGATCGCTGTTCCCTGCACGTTGTGGCTACCAGGAAATTGCTCCCCATTTTGGTCGTTGCTACGTTAGGCCAGTCAAAATCGACAATAAATCAACAAAGCATGATGTATCTCTGATTTTTTAGTATGTTGTTCGGACCCATTAGAGTAGTGTATACTCAAGTTTGCAACTCTCTAAAAGTTGTGGAAAAAGTGTAGTATACGAAAAACCGCGAAATTTTCGGACTTTTTGCAGTGTTTGCGTTATATTTTCTTAACTATGCATTTTTCGACAAAAGTCACTATACACGTTTTTGAACAGTATTAAATGTGTAACAATTTGCGCCTAACCCGAGCTCTGTAGGTCAATCAGTTACCGAATTACGACACTCTGAAGATAGTAATTTTTTTCCAAAAAGTGAACATTTGAGTTTTACACCTTCTTTAGATCGAAATTGCGGCTAAACTATTGATCCTACAAGTAGAACTTATAAAATAGAAGTTGCAGATTATTTAATTAGCTTTAAATTAAGCGTAAAGTGGGGTTTGCAGGCCTCGTAGTTCTCTCTAAATCTAAAAAAAACCGATATAAGGTAAAATCGCAATTGTCCAGAAATGTTCCAAAAGCTTTTTTATTTTTTGTTTTTTGGTGTGGTAAAGAAAAATTTGGCATGCAATCATTTAAAAAACGGTGAAATGTATGTAAGCGGAACTTCGTGAAACATGAAAACATCACGTTTTATTACGGCTCGCTAAGGCAGCTTTATTAAGGAGCGCGCCCACCGAATCCGTTCCGCTCGGCACGGCACAGTCCCGTCTCTCCGTCCGAGTTGTATTACACAGAAAGCAATGGAGCAGCGCCCACCCAATCCGTCGCACTCCGACCCGTTCGGCACCGTCCAGTTCGTCTCCGTCGTGGTTGCTTCGACTAGCAACTTTTGCCGGTGACGCACCCGTCTATCGCTAAAATTCTAAAATAGCAGTACATTATACGTCGCAATTGCAGCGCACAAACATGGGTGACGAAAAGTTGATAGAGTTGGTGCGTCATTATCCCATTCTGTATGATGTGAGTCATAAATATTACCATGATTGCACACGTAAAGACAATGCATGGGAGGAAATAGCCACTAAAATAACCTCTTCATCGGAAGAACTCTCTGCGTCTCGACGTGTTACAACCGCTCTTGATACCATTTTGCATCGAACTAAACGCGATGCGACGGACGGTCACGGAAGCAGACGGAACAAGTGGGCGCCTTCTGGACGGACGGGACTGTGCGGAACGGTGCCGAGCCGAGCGGAACGGATTCGGTGGGCGCGCTCCTTTATACCAAGGGGTGCGCGAAGGAGCGCGCCCACATATGAGGACTTCGTACGCGACATCCATGAAAGACGATAAATAGAGCAATGTATCGAGCCATTGTTACTGTTCAATAAACGCCCATTGTAAATTGTTGTTTAGTGTTTAATTTAGGGGTGTAATACCCCTAATACTTTATACCGCCGTTAATAAGTAATTTTACATGTATTTTAATATAAAAATAAGTCATAAAGTCATAGAGTGTCTTGTTGCCTACATCTGTGAAGTACATGACAACTTGGTGGCTGCGACCGGATCCTATCTCAGCAAAAGCAGCAAAAGTTCTCTTGTCGCCAAAGCGATTCATCAGGTGGTTCTTGACAGTTGTGAGGTCAGGCTTGTAATCGCCTTTTATCTGATCAATGAGGTGGTTCAAAGAAAACTGGCATTCATCCCTGTTCTCTGAGAGGTACGAGAAAATGAATTCCATACACTGAGCAACATTTTTGGGCTCTGGATACAGTCTTTCTCTTACTGCGGCTGGGAAACTGTAGAATCGCTTGTAGCATAATTGGTGGTACCTGGCATCAGCGGCGATGAGATCTGTCGTAGATGCAAGGCGGTCGATTGTCTGGTTACCCCAATCGTCACCACGACGTCTTGCAGTCTCGAGAATCGTCCCCCTTATGTGAAATGATTCTACTGTGTGAAACTTATTTCTGCGTGACGTTGGAAGTCGTTTTTGAAGCTGCAGAAACTTCTCAGTAATTTTCTCTCCACAAAGGAAACACATATTTTGCAGATTCATTGAACCTACTGATGATCTCCAGGTTGATGGTTGGGGTGAAGGAGGTCCATCTCCACGACGAACAGAAGCTTCGATGTTACGTGGGGCAGTGTACCTGACTTCATTCAGGTTCCCCACACGATACTTGACCAAACACGAGTTACTCACAAGGGAGGAACAAATACTTTGAGCTCAGGAAGAAACTAAGAAAACGAGGGGACGAGAGAGGGTTTCATATACGATACGAAATATGGCATTCAGCATGAAGTCTGAAAATCTGTAAATACTTTAGCACGCGCGGTGTAATACCTAATTATGACAACTTCGCGACAACTATACTAACAATAACATAAGGATCATCTTCATGAGCTAAAAACGTGCTCACCAATAGGGCGGCAGACTTTGAATTACTTTGAAAGCTGTTTATTACTCAGTTAAGATTAAAATCTGCACTATTCTTCTTATCAATAAAGTATTTGAATTTGCCATCGCACGGTCGTGTTCCAGTGCGTGTGACAGTTTTAGTTGGTATTGGTTCCCATTTTAAGATCATTGAATAAAGATTCCTTATTCAATGATTACAGATTCGTAAAGACGATTCAATCGGGCGAGTATGTGTTGTTGAATATCATAACTCATACTGCCATCATACCTACTTTGAGTATTTTCTGTCATCAGGTAAGTGTTACCAAAATAACAGATCCAGTATTTCCGTACCACTACCATTATTACTACTATTGCCGATCACTCAACGGGACTACGCAGAACAAAGAACCGCTACAATCCTTAAATATCATCATTGTATATTAGGTATGTACAATATCATTGCGGCACCTCCCTACAACTTACTCAACTTTGATTTGTGCCTTAATTTAAATCTATGAAATTGTTGGATATTTAAAATTGACTCAAAAAAGTGATTTGACACATTGCTTTTCTATTTCCACACCAAAAAACAAAAGATAAACAGTTTTTGGAACATTTCTGGAAAAATACAATTTTTTTCACTACTAGCGCCTGATGCATGATTATTAACCTTTTTTCCACTTGTAAAGTAGGCTTTCTCGGCATTTGTTCAAAGTGGTTAATAATGTGGACATTATTAACTAGTAGTCAATAATGAGAACTGTCACGCTGTCACTTTTAGAAAACACAACCCGAAATTTCGCTCAATAAACGTTTGGACAAGTTCTCTAAAATGAATAATTGCCACCACCGCCATTTCTAGAGAAATTACATACCTAAAATTATCACATTTTGAAAATATCTCAATGACAGAACAAAATACGGCCTGTTTGACTTGTACTTCCACACACTTGATTGACATGTTAAATTAATAAACAAAAAATTCTGTCCAACCGTTCACTTTCTTATCAATATAATATGTTAATTTAGAGGATTTCAAGTGCTAGTAGTGAAAAAAATAGTATATGTATATACCACGGTAGAGAAGTCTATTATTGCCGTCGCACCTTACACCCCTCGGCGCAAGCGCCTCGAGATGTAATCTTGGTGCTCAGGCAATAATAGTGGCCTTCTCTACCTTGATATATAATGTACTATTACCTTATATCGGTTTTTTTGAGATTTTGAGAACTACGAGGCCTGCAGACCCCATTTTACGCTTAACTTAAAGCTAATTAAATTATCTACAACTTCTCTTCTGTAAGTTCTACTCGTAGGATCAATACTTTAACCGCAATTTCGGTCTAAAGAAGGTCCTAACACTGAAATGTTCACTTTTTAGAAAAAAATGACTATCTTCAAAGTGCCGTAATTCGGTAACTAATTGACTTACAGAGCTCAGGTTGGGCGCAGATTGTTACACATTTAATACTCTTCAAAAACGTATACAGTAACGAAAGTCGAAAAATGCATAGTTAAGAAAATATAACGCCAACACTGCAAAAAGTCCGAAAATTTCGGGGTTTTTCGTATACTACGCTTTTTCCACAACTTTTTGAGAGTTGCAAACTTGAGTATACACTACTCTAATGGGTCCAAACAACATACTAAAAAATCAGAGATACATCATGTTTTGCGAATTTAGCGATTTTTTGTGTCGATTTTGACTGGCCTACGTAGTAAAAACGAAGCTACTACGTAGCGATACACGGTCCCCATTCACCTTAAAGTCGCTTAAGTCGTTGTAATTACGTTTCGGGTTACTAAAAATGCTGCTTGGGGACTGTAAACTGTGGAGACGACCTGTGCAACAGTATTGCCTCTTTTAACCTTTCATCACGATGACTTATGGGGCAAGTCCTTTTTTGGAAGAACTAACCATTGGACCCAAAATTGTTTTCGTTTTTTACGAAAATAATTTATCTTAAGTGCAACCAATCAAATATGTGATATGATAAGCACTATTATTCGCATTTTCAGCACTATATATAGTCGTGAATTACGTTAGAAAGTCAGAATGCTGTTCAACATGAAAAGTTGTATTTGTATCCTACTGGTATTGGCGCTAGTTGGCCTGTCAATGGCTGACATAGAGTGCTATCATACCGATTTGAATATAAATACATGTAAAAAACCTTACTGTGATTGGTGGTGGGGTTCGTGTCCTGAAGGATATGAAAGATGGTAAGCTACTTTTGTATTTTTCTCTATGAATGATTACCGGTAGCTAATTGTGCTTTAAGAAAGTAGTAATGGCTCTTTATTTCTCGATTTATGGGATTTAAGCGTTATTCACATCTCTCATCTCTCACTTGCCTCATCTGTACTTCTGTAACATTCGCAATATAGATGTTTTTATTTCATTTTCAAACTTACATTAAGACCTATTAATTTATATTTATGTTATGTTTCAGCCACTGGAATCCAGTGAACTGGTGCAGATTCTTTTACCATACCTGCTGCATAACAAAATAAATTCACGATGGTGTTGCTTCTACATTAATTCATTCAATTATTTCCAAAAAATGTATTTTATTCCGACAAAACTTATGTTTTTTTGTTTATTTATTTATTTATTATCCCTCATTTGTTCTGGGCCCTCAACAGGCTTGCGCCCAATTACAGAGTGACCCGCATAATGCTTTTTAGAGGTGCACATTTAATGTTATTTTTTGTTGTTATTATTTAATGAATGGGACGTCATAATAGATACATATGAACGCAAGCAAGTTTATGACGTTTCATTCGTTTAATTTTTGATTCTGCACATTTTTGTTTGAACTACTCTTAATATAGTATTAGAAAGGCCATGTACAAAATTTAAAGTTCTTAGCGACAATTTAACAAATATGGCCGTTGCACAGCGATTTTAAAGGAAAGTAAGGCGCACTTTTTCATATATATTTTTTTCTGAAGTGATCGTTCTGAAATTGTTACCGAAAAAATTTTGATTGCATCATCGGTCATCTTTACAATGGCGTCTGATTGAACCACTGAGTCTCCATTAGTCTGTAAAAAAATCAGGTTCATTCATCCAACCGTAACCTTGTTATAGCCGTAGAAAGTTCGTGAAAAACCGACCAAGAATTGTTTTTTACGGAGTTATCAAATGTTGGCGATTTTTTTAAATATTTTCTTAAGAGCTATTATCGACGTTTTCATTAGATATATAACTTACTTTTTTGAAAAACAACCTTTTAGAATTGGTACCGCAAGAAGTGCCCACAGCGCCTTAAGGTTTGGATTTAGAGAGTATAGGCAACTGGTGATGCACATGTAATTCAATGGGGCGTGCATTGCCTCTGAACTTCATTCACCATTCCATAAGCAAGGGGTGTATATGTCGGAAAAATATGCATTAGGTAGATAGATGTACAGAGCATAGTTTCCATACAATATAAACTGATATTTTGTCCATTAATATATGTTTAAAAAATCCAGAAAACATGCGTCAAAAGAGTTCATAGTTTAGGAATTAATTGCAAAAATTAGGGAGCATTTTAAGCAATACGGATGTATGGGATCGGTAGCGTGAATACTTATCTATATTTTGGCAATTCATGTGAAGCTCAAAAGTTTTCATAAAAAAAGTGGTGAATGAAGTTCTGAAAAATGGCATGTAAACTGGAGAAATGGAAATAAACTACGCAGCTGTGACTAATTCGCGGTCAAAAGTGTAGCTTCTTTCTCACAGAGGGTGCCACCAAGAGTTTTATGAAATCAGTAAAAAATACGATAAAGATATGAAATAGGTAAGCGCTTTTATCTTGCGATGGAGTTGTTCTTACTTTTTAACTAGGCTAGTACTAGTACTGTGTAATGGGGATAATAAAAGACCAAAAATTTACGAGCAAAAAAAAACTAGCAGGCTATGTAAGTTGCCTATGCTAAATCATTTAGCGATTCTCTTTCAAGGTTAAACGAGCGTGCGTGTAATAGAATTTGCTGACAGCAAGAAAAAGATCGTTCACTGGTATATTTTTATTTTGTCAACAAATAAAATACATATACTCAAACCTTATTTCCTCGGCTTCAGAACGCCGGCCTTACGTAGATAAGATAAGCGCTCACTTGTATAGCATCATAAATTACATGAAATCGGATACATTTTAATTCTTCATTTTTCTCTTTTCTAAACATTTAAAAAATTGATGGAGCGGGTTTGGTTATACAAGGGCGGAAACTAAATTTGGCCTCCACATATAAAATTATGAGGTTGGACAAGGAAAGATTTTATTAGAATAATAAACATAATTTTTGTTTTTCCATAATAAATATATTATTATACCTGGTGGTGACTTGAACAACGCACCATAGGAATTGCAATAGTAATTTTTTCATTTCTGATTATTGACTTCTCTAATTATTTTAGAGAGAAAGTCTATTTAGGTTTTTTGTAGAGAAAAAATCCATGCATACTATAGCTTTTAATTTTCTGAACTTTGAATCCAAGAAATTGGATAACTAAAAACTGGCGCTTTTAAGAAAATCAGTGGTGTCATGGCAATTTGAGATCAAACATGGCAAATGCAGGCGCTTTTTGTTTGATTTCCTAACTCCATGGAATTACCGACTTTAGAAACGCGACAGTTTTTAATTTTTAAATTTTTACTGATTCTGAATTTATAAAATACGAAACAAGAGTATGTACTGATTCGTTTATATAATTCGAGGTAAATCTTTCATTCACGCCTTTGACGCTTCCGACGAAGGCGACGACGGGCGACTTCAGCGCCCCCCAGACTTGGCGTCCAGGGCCTGGGCCCCCCTCGCCCCTCGCCCCTCCCCCTCGCACGGCCTTGCCTACCTATATGTATCTGTGATAATACCATCACAAAATTTTTTGATTAGGAGAGGGAGCACTTAACGAACTTTATTTATTTTATGTCAATGTCAACATAGTCCAGTCAAATTAGCTCCAAAAGTATTCTAAACTGGATGTTGGCATTTCACACAACGAAACCAAGTGTATTCTATGTAGTTCCCTGCCCGGAAGCTCCCGGAACATATTGCTATACACAAAAAAACCAAGAAAAAATGGAAAAATGCAGTTTTTTTCGCATTTGACTTCCAATTATCTCGTCAACTATTGCTCGAGCTCATAGAAATGAATTTGTTTAGAATCGAATTTTCAGTTGGTACAGAACCGTTCATTTTTAAATGTTATTGTTTTTTCTGGAAAAATACAAAAAAATTAATCCCAAAAATTAACATTTGTTTTTGTTGATACGCCCTTCTCGATGCTTTGTCTTTCAAACTGGATGACTCCCAGAGCGTTTTCAATATTTTTATGGATGGTGGAACCGTAAAACAACCTATTCCAACAATTGTCTGTTGTCCCGATGAGTTTTGCAAATCGACGGACTGTGGAATTAGAATTAGTTTAGTGGAGACCCCAGAAATAGAACAAAAAAGTAACTTTATAATAGGCCCTTGGCACTATGTTTAATAAAAATCATACCAACTGTATCTGATAGAAAAATCGATTCTAAACAAATCGTTCTCTTCATTTTTTCCGTAAGAGGAATAGTTAACGAGATACCTAATTAATTCAAATGCGAAAAAACGATATTTTCCCATTTTTCCTTCGTTTTCTTGTGTATAGCAATATGTTCCCGGAGTTTCCGGTCAGCTAGACTGTCATTTACGGATTCAGGGGATTTTTTTGCATATAATACACATGCATGGTTTCGTTGAATGAAGTGACAACACACTAAACCGGCAGACCCAGACAGTAATAGATACAAAACTATAAACCATCTCGAGGATCGCTATTAAAACTTTGCTTTGTGAAAATTTTCGTAGGTAATTGCACAAGTGCATCAAAATGCTCTTTTAACAAATTATGAAGTGTAACTTCAGCGCATTTTCCATAAATTGATCAATACTTCCCCAAACGCTATACCTATGTGCGCTACGTTTTTGATTACTAGACGCATATATGGTTAAAATTTTAAAGAAATATCTTCATAAATAAGGAAGTTGACACTTACTGCGCAGTTGATATTGCGCGTCCTGCGCAGTTGATATTGCGCGTCCTGCGCATGCACTTATTAATCTGTATTTACCTACAATGTGCAATATGTTTGCTTTTACTATAAGTATCTTTGGTTAAAATTTCAAAGAAATATCTCCATAAATAAGAAAGTTTGCATTGCGCACATCTGATTTTTACTATATGCGATATATTTGCCTTTACTACAAGTATCTGTCATTAAAATTTCAACAAAATATATTAATAAATAAAAAAGTTAACATTGCGCAGCATGCGCATGCGCAGTTCAATCGTCAAGATTTTCTTTGACTCAGGTGCCAGAGCGATACGCTACCGAATGCAAAAAGAACGAACTAAATATCTTGAAAACTGTAGGAGTAGTTAAGGCCTCGGACAGACGGACGGACAGAGAAAGTGGCTGCAGTAGCGCATCTAACTTCGTTGGAAAATGCGATAAAAATTATCAGGTTTATTTTGATGCACAAGTGTAATTCGGGGGAATATTTCCCGAATAAACATTACAAACTCACATTACCTACTTATAAAATTGTTAAGTGTATTCCTATGAAATGTGCAATTATCGCAGGGCTCTTTCGTTTTCTACAATGCAATTCCCGCTGTAATTGACCGATAATTGCACACCTCAAATGGGATTTATTACATATGAGGCAAATATTCATTCGAAAATTTGCTTACGTTTAGGTTTTCTTTATCCAAGTTAAATGAAGTTAAATTGCTGATTGCAAGATTTATTCCACAAACGGAGAGACAAGTAGGCAAGTCTGGCAGGTAGAGTACGTAGATATATAAACAAACACGGAAATTACACTTTTTTCGAGAATACGAAAAGTACCTAATTGCGAATATGAAGTGATATTTGCTTTGTATGTGTACCTGCAAAGATTATCAGCACTTCGCCCCAGATGTAAATTATGGGGATTTCTTGTAGGACAGCTTTCTAACAATAAAGTATCAATAATTCTTTCCCTAGACAATTTGCAAAACCATTCCAATAAAAGAAATCTATAGAAGAACCAACACATTGTTGTATGCGCTAATAGATGGAGCAAAATAGAGGGATAGCAGGTTTTTAAATAAGGGGACATTTGAAACAAAACTTAGCGTGCTTTTTCCCCTTAAGATTGGCCGTCTGTAGTATATGTTGTCTGTGGTAATACCTATGACCTGAGGCGGCGATCATTCTCGTTCAGTGGATTTCGAGCTAGCTCCCCTACTATGTGTGTTTAATAATCGGACCGCGATAAGAGTTGCATATTTTTCTATTTCTATATCTACTTAATAGCAGTTGGCGTTGGCAGTATGCAATTAAAGGAATTTGAACAGAGAAACATAGGCTACATTTCCCTGATTTGGGTAAACAATAAAGAAATTGCAGGGAGCGAAGCTTGAGCCGTTAACCACAACCACATTTACTCCGAGAGCTGGTTGAAATTTTTGGGTAGGTGTTTGGGAAAACTTGCGCAATACTTCTCCGGGGCTAAATCAACTCTTATATTTTTAAAGATACGAATTTTTTTTGCAAAAATGTTCTTGAAGCAGTTCGAAATT